TGCCCTGCGCCCGCGCGCGTTGATGAAGGATCATGTGTTGCGTTCCACTCGTCTTGTCTCGAACACAGCTTCGCCACGGTCTTGCTCTCGACGATAGGTGTGATCGACTCGGTTATTAGCCTAACTCTCTCACGATACTTGAATTCACTCGGTTATTAGCCTCGCTCCCTCGATTTTGAATTGGCTCGGGTCCTAGCCTCACCAATTCGATTTGTATGATCGAACTCTCACGAATCCTAACACACGGTTTCAAACAAACGTTATTTTCTATTTCATCATATTTCTGGACTTGAAAAACAATGAGGGATGCTCCCTATTTATAGATCCTAGACTAGTCTAATCATATTCCAACTAAATCTCTTATTCTATGCAATAAATAAATCCTAATACTAGTAAATCTCTAATTAAAGCAATTAAATATTAAATAACCTAAACAATCTAGATATTATTGTGCAAGAAGGAAACTAAATATACTAGAGTCCTAATTTACTTGATTGTCTTGATCTTGCTTGGCTTGCACTCCAAACAATCCCAATTTCACGCCCTTAAGTATTCGGCCGCCTCATATTTCGCCACCTCCTCTCGCGCGTCACACGCGTGTGCGTGCACCGCCCATGTACCCGCAGTCCTTGGCGGCTTAGATCTCTTGGGTGCCCATTTTGCACGCGCGCCTATGCGCGCGCCCAGTCTGCGCCCGAACTCATCGCGCGCGTGCGTGCTGCCATCCTTGCCTATGCCTGTCGCGCATAGGCATGCGTCCGCCCACTCGCACGCTATCACGCGCCTCTCGCCCCGTCAGATCTTCTCGCGCGCGTAAGTACCGCTGCCCATTACTCCTATGCTCGCGCGGTCTCGGATGCCCGCGTGACCTTCACCCGCGCGCCCAGCTCGCCCGTCGCTCACTGCCCGCGCGTACCTTCCAACGCCCGTGGCCTGATCGCCTACCATACACCCATGTGCACCCAACGCTGTCCGCGTGCTGTCCACATGCCTGCGCGCATCATCGCCCGATGCGCGTCTTTTGCCTATTTGCCAGTTGGCTATGCCCGACCATTCTTCACATTCTACGGGCTCGATCACCACTCCTGTATCATTACCCTCCTCTTCAAGACTTTCCTTGTCCCCAAGGATTAGAAAGTTCAGCACGTCCACACCACTCTCGTCCTCTTCAATGGGAGAGTCGCCTTGGTCCTCAATTCTCAAGTTAATGCGCTTTCCTGGCCGCCCAAATTCCATATTTCCTCGATTATAGTCAGTCGTAATGGGCCCAAGTGTTTCGAGCCACTGGACTCCCAACACTACATCAGTTTCCTTAAGTGGTAAGGCGTAAAGATCAATTTCCAGCTCGTGATCCTGTGCCATAATGGGACCTTGTTGAAAACTGATTACCTTGCAGCTCATGTCCATTGGCCACCTTAACACCAAACTTCTTGACTTCTGTAGGTACCAATTTCAGCTTCCGGGCTATCCCCTCATCAATAAAATTTAAACTCGACCCACTATCCACCAGTACCTCTAGCAACATATCCTTTATCTCAGCCGTGAATCTGATCATCCTAGGACCACGCTTATTGCACTTAACCATATGCAACCAAGATTCTTCCTTTGGCTTTTCTTCCTCTCGTTTCTCCTCAATTTCCAACAGAAAATTTCCTTACCTTTTCACTTGTGGCCTGGCACAAATTTCTCGTTGCAAGTAAAGCATAAGCCTTTCTCTCTTTGCCTTTGAATTTCGTCTTCTGTCAACCGTCGGAAGTGGCTTGTTCTGCGTGTACCCTCGTCGACTGTCGGCTTGATCTTGGCCCGTGGTGGCGTATCGTCGGCCGCGACGCTCGCGCGCCGTACGTCCATGCGCCTCTCGCTCGTCCTGGCCTTGCGCACTGCCGCGAGATGATCCTCGTGTAGTCGTGCGGCTTCCATAGCAGCCCTTGTCGATCTTGGCCTATCCAGCCTTACCTCCGCGGCTAGCTCAGCCTTTAGACCTCCAACAAACGCACCAACAGGTGCACTCTCGGGCCAATCGCGTACCCGGCTCGCAATTCTCTGAAACTCCTTTTGATAGTCGCGTAGACTACTGGTTTGGCGGATCCTTGTCAAGGCCTCATCATAATCGAAATAATCACTAGATCCAAACCTGGCAATCAGCTCCTTCTCAAAATCTCTCCATCTGATTTGCTCACGTTTGTTCTTGTAAACATGTTGTTAGAGGTATGCTGTAAAAGCTGTGTTTTGCAGTTTCTATCAATTCCATTTTGA